GCCATTGGTCAAACACAGTCTCCAGCCCCGAGATGATGACGACGGTAGCAGTGACGATGGTGAGGATGATTTCGAGATCTACGCTGAGATTGTGGATGATTGCTTCACTATTGAGAACATTGGAGAGGTGCAGAGTCAAGTCAAAAGCAATGTGACGCCACTCAAGATGATGTCGTGGACGTGCCCGGCGTTCCGTTTTCTCGAACACGATGCTGCATCGGTCTCACCCTGGCTTCCACACCCAGAGCTCTCAAGCAGCCTCCGTGGTCAACCGCCTTTGGACTCGTCTAGTGGTAACCCGGTACCCGTCAAGATCCCCGAGGATGTGCGGCCGCATAGTCTGTTCCAATTGGCAGTCTATCTAGACGATGCCGATCTACTACAATTCCTGATCGCCAGAGCTCAGGAGTACACGCAACACAACACCGAACTCGACGATGAGACTGCACCGAGGTTCTTCCGTTTCGACGAAGCCGAGTTCTGGTACGCGATCCGCTTGAGTCGTACCCGCCTGCTAGGAATCATCATCAAGAACACTGGGGCTGGCATTCCTTTGGACGATCTTGTGAAGAAGAGCGGCATCGAGATACCCGTGAAGCCAAAGTACTACCAAGGGCTATCGGTGCACGGCAGGAAGCGAGCGGACTGGGCGAATGAAGGGAGAGAGACCCAGACGAAAGCAGTTGGGGCGAAGCATCCGCCTTTACTTCATGCCGCTCGTTACACAAGTTTGGAGAGCGTCGAGTGGTTCGCTAGTGACACCGCTTTGCGCTGTTATATGGAGTTTGCGGACAGTCATCGAGACGATATTCGCATCCAGAACCTGGCGAAGACCCAAGGCGGCCTACAGTCGTCTATCACAAAGTGGCTCGACCTACGCTCGCATCTACTGCTCCATTCGGTGGTTCTGGGCAAGGAGGGTGAAGAGTCGGTGAGCCTGCTTCGACATCTATGCAAAACTCATCCCAAGGCGATTGGACATCGTTCTGCGAATGGCATGACGCCCCTGCAGCTTGCTTTCTCTCAGCACCGTGTCGAAATGGTGAAGGTTCTTCTGGAAGCTGGTGCCGATCAAACCACACGCGACAACACCGGAGCGAACATTATCCACTCAATCCTGCACAAACATTTGAACTACCAGCTAGACCTAGAAAAGCTCCGCGAGCTTTTGGCGCTCATCGACACTCGCCTTCTCTCTAGCCTGTTCACCGAACGCACAACGGCGGCTCCTGGCGCAGCTACACCTCTTGCACGCTGGCTTCACGTCGCTCTTCCCCACAACTCAACAAGTTATAACTCGGAGAGCCACGAAAACATTCTCAAACTTCTTTTCGAGCTCAACAAAGGCGACGACCTCAGTATCGTCAATGGCGAGGGCGACACGCCTGTCCATCTTGCCGTACGGCGTGGTACTGATCAAGTCTTGCGCGTCATGCTCCAATGCCGTCCTGACCTTCTCTTCCGTGAGAACGCATCAGGACGTACGCCGTTTGAGATGGCAGAGGATACATATCTGGCTCAAGAGGTCTTCAGCAACCCTCCGCCTCCCAGCGACGCAGGGCAAAATCGTCGCCACAGACATCTTGGTATCGGGAACGTGAATACTAACGTGCTTTCACGACGTCCAGAATCCTTCGTCGAAAAGTCCCGAGATACTCGCGATGCTACGACAAAGGTGTGGGAAGTCTGCAAGGAGTTTGCCGAGAAGAATCAAGGGCAGAAGAGGAAGCTGGTCAGTCTGGTCGAGGCAAATGAGGTTGCGAAGCGACTGGCATTGCGGAAGCGGAATGAGTCTACGACGCGGGTGAGAGGGAGGCGGTTCAGGCGCAGGCATGGCAGAGTTGAAGCCATCCACGACGACGACGACGAGCTTGCCACAGGCGACGAGGTCGATGCGTGGTTTGGAACGTAGGCGGATCGCTAGTGTCCGTCATCCGATCGCCTGTAGTGTTGGCACGTGCGGCTAGTTTTACCTGAGACAGAGAATCTGGAGATGAGGCGCCGATCTAGCGAGCCCCTATTTTGATACCACGATAACAACATATTCTCCGGCTACCAACGAATCCGTCTTCCGAACACGTGTTTGGCCAAGCATTCTCTGACTGTAATAAAAGCAGAGGAGCGAAGTAGATAGCATCACGAATAACGATCATTGTCGCCCATTTTCCCCAGTTCCCAAACTTAGCGTCTCGGCAATGGATTTCCTCAAGCGATTCACGAAACAGTCTTCCCCACCGTCCAATGATACACCAGACCCATATGCAGACGACGACGTCTACCCAGTGCATGGACTAGATGACACCAAGACCTTTCGTAGCATTATAATTGCGTGGACACTATGCTTCAACGACGTTCTTGATGCAGACAAGCTCCAGTCCTCTCTAGCAAAGCTCCTGGAGACCGGGGACTGGAGGAAGCTCGGAGGCCGCTTGAGACTCAACGTGAGTAGCATCCCATGGCTCTTCTCTTAGTAGAAGTAGGACGGCTAACAAGTTGGACGATAGGACAAGGGCGCATTAGAGATCCACGTGCCACGCCAGTTCACATCTGCGCGACCCGCCTTCTCGTACAGCCATGTCACCATCAACACTTCCATCGAAGAACACGAACTGGGCAAGAAGCTTCCCAAAGCCAACGGAGCCGTTGTGACATGTCCAGGGCCCACGGAGTTCAACGAGCTGGCTGCTCGCTCCGACGCGCCCATGACGTTGGATGACCTTACCTCTGGAGATACGCCACAGATCTCAGTTCATATCACCTCTTTTACTGATGCGACGCTCGTGGGGCTCTCCTGGCCCCATACGCTGATGGACGTAATCGGCAACCAAAACCTCCTGCGCGCCTGGTCTCTGGTATTAGCCGGGAAAGAGTCCGAAGTACCGCCTGTATTGGGTGCGCAGGAAGATGCGCTACGTGCACTGACTGACAACGCGACTCAGCCGGCAGAGGAGTACACACTCAAGGCCAAACAGCTCAAAGGGCTGAGTATGGTCAAATTTGGGGCGAGGTTCGCGTGGGATATGCTTACCGGCCCTGCTCCAAAGTCACAGACGATCTACCTGCCCAAGGACGTCGTAGCAAAACTGCGGGCGGCGGCCGAGAAAGATCTCCCCACGCAAAAGAACGACAGTGGCCTAGACGAGAAACCGTTCATAAGCGATGGCGATATCCTCACAGCATGGACTCTCCGCTGCATCGCATCATCCCTCCCATCACCCCGGCCCCTAACCGCCCTGCACGCCATGAACGCGCGCTTCCGCCTCCCCGACCTCATCAACGCAACAGGTATGTACATGCAAAACATGCTCGTCCCCGGCTTCATCTTCGTCACCCCAGACATGTCCACCGGCCCCCTCGGTCCCACCGCCCTGCACAACAGACAAAGCCTCCTCGCCCAAGCAACCGAAGGCCAAGTCCTCGCCAGCATCCGCGAGCAGCGCATCTCCGGCGACCCATCTACGCTCCTCTACAGCGACGCAGATGCGATGTTGGTGCCTTTTACCGATTGGTCGAAAGCCAAGTTCTTTTCTACTGTCGACTTTGGGCCTGCGGTTGTGAGGGCTGGGGATACGAGGGAGGGGAGAAGTAATCCGCCTGGTATGCCTGCGTTTCATCATTGCTCGAGTAGGAAACCGAATGTGGCGAATAGGCTGTTGGTGCATATTCTGGGGAGGGATCATGCAGGGGGGTATTGGTTGAGCTTGATTATGTCGCCGAAGGCTTGGGAGAATGTTGAGGAGAGCTTGAGGGAGTTGAGTTGATGGGTGGGAGGTGATGAGGTGATGCGCTGATGCGATACTCATGGTTTCTCGTTCTTTTCTGCCGTCTGTTGCTTGGATACCCGTTTAGACCTGCCTAGTTGTATAGTAGTACTCATCGAGCTGTCGCTATAGCTTCTCAATCGCGATCTTTACTTTCGTTGCAACAGATTCTTCATCATGGAATGCATACTGGAAGCGGGCACACTTGCGCTGACGTCGCTACAAGATCAGCGGAAAAATGAATATACCTTGGTAACACTGTGTGACATCATCTTTGCACTAGCTAGCATGCTTAGGTAGTGCTGGCGATATTTTAATCCGCTGAAAGCTTAGGAGGTGCTCAAGTCTTGGATGCGAGTACGATCACATTTATCGTGTTTCAGATCATCGAGGTAGGTGCCAGCAGTTTCAGGGTTGGTGACGAGAAGGGTACATGGTGGGGACATCAGGGGTAATGAGGTGGGGGTGACGTAGCCCAGAAACGGCTGCGGCACGGGCACCACCCCACCTGTAGCCCCATGCGATAAGGTTGACATAGCTGCAGGGTCTCTTGATCGGAACGCAGTGCGCGGTATATATGTTCTCGAGTGTCTGTTCTTGTTTGCGCGCTCGTCTCGTGATGATCCGATTGCAATGACTTTGACGGTACTTTAGGTAGTTAGGTATGTAATAACTGTAATTTGCCGACAACTGCTACAGCATATAGCGGTTAGCACTAGATAGTGCGCGTGCTAAGTCTTACAATGCAGACTTACATTCTAAGCTAGTACATCTCTATGTATATCTACAGTACAGCAATAAGTCTTTAAAATAACTCTATAATAAGATAGCAGAACTATAGTTAAGGTTTAAGTATATAAAGTGCTATTACTACTTATCTAAGTCATATTATAACAACTTTATCTAAATTCTCTTTAACTACTAATATAGCAACAAAATTCTACAAAGGCGTAGAACTTAGCTATAAGCAACTGCGCTAGTTGCCAGAAGTGAGATTTCTGCCGAACCCCCAATCACCAGAAGCACAACGCGATATATATGTTCTCGAGTGTCACATCTAGTTCCTGTAATTTTAGTTCCCAATCTCAGTACTATCCTCATCAAGTTGACACTTTCTAATCTGATTTGCCCCGTAGGCCTTCCGCTTAGGCCCATCGAACCCCCACTCTATTTATTCCAAAGTCGCTTTTCAACCTCTCGAATGTTTTCATGAGCTCCGATAGAGCGATGGCGTCATCAATGGAGAGCCGCCAGCAACTTCATACTCCCCCTCCGGAATCCGATGAACACGGGTCCAAAGTAACGGGTATCGAAGAGACGTCGGTCGAGCCGCCGAAACCAGCTGAACAGAAACAAACGCCCAACCTCAAGCGACCGGCAGAGGACGACGATGACGCCGAAACGAAGACGCCCGCAAAGGTAGCGAGGAAAGGCCAAACCACCCGTGAACCGAGAACACCCAAGAAAGCAGCACAGTCCGAAGAAGCGCTTGCAAAGAAGCTTGAGTCCGCCAAGAAGAAAGCCGAAGAAGCTGCAGTCAAAGCCGCAAACGCTGCGAAGAGAAAAGAAGCTGCCGAAGCGAAGAAAGCCGAGAAAGAGCGAAAGAAGTAAGTCGCGCAATGGAAGAAGGACTGGAAGGATTGGGTGTCCAAGAACCAGACCGATGAGACAATCACTTCGGGTGAGCTAGGAAAAAACGTAAACGTCAAAGGCGCGAAGTCATTCTTCGACCTGAAGCCAGATGAGCTCAAGTGCATCCCACATCGCCCTAGCGTGAACAGTTACAACCAGATGCCCCAGCGCCAATACAAATGGGATGATTGCGGAAAGCTGGCCTTTCGGAAAGAAGCTATGCTCGCTGGTATATCGCAGGAGAATGAGGAGGAATTCTTCGCCAAAGGGAAGAAGCTGTTTGCCGATAAAAACGCCAGAGGGTAAGCGACCGATACACATAGCAGCTGCAATAATCTAACACTCTCTAGTAATTACGACAACCTCGAGGTATGCAAAGGTGGGGGTATGGGAGACGTCTTTGCACGCTACAAAGAATCGACGTGATAAGACGAACTCAGGCGGATGCGCGAGGATGAGGAGGATAGGCTGATGTGGGAGAAGTATGGGGACGACCCAAATTTTCAGCATAACTGGAGTGGCTACTAGACTGTCGTTAAATCAAGTTTCCCAATCTTGACCCCAAGTTTCGTGCAGCGAATCCGGTTCCGTGAGTACCTAGGTAAGGGTGTTATCGGGACTTTGACGGGAATACTACCAGACTCGTGTCGTACTAGTGCACCACCATCATGCCGAAGGATCTCGATATTGCTAGTTGGAGTAGTTTACCAATATCTCAATGCGTCTTGACGTGGCATCCAAGATAACTGTTTTGGTACTTTACCCCTCATTGTGCAGCAAATCCATCCCTTGTTCGGAAGGCAAGCTGATAAGAGGCACAGTTGCCAATGTCTTTGTTCCTAGAGTAGCTTTATCGCATTGTCTTACATGTCTTGAATTTCTCCCAAAGACATCGTGCAAGTGTCTTACTGCTTCTTCTTTAAGTAACGCTCTTTTGCACCCACTCAACATGCCACTCCATCGCCGCGATTCCAAAATGGTGAAGGAAACGTCACAACCCCTCATCAAGGAGGAACCCACCTCGCCTACCCTAGCACCCCAGCTACTCACCCCACCTTCTTCAGCCATCAACATCAAGTCCGAGCCTTTTGCATTGAAGAGCGAGGTAGAAGCTTCTCCTACAGTAGCGAAAGCGTCCAAACGCAAACGCCCAGCCACACCCGATGATAGTGACGATGAGCCGACCAACCCCGTGCCATCGCGCAGGAAATTCAACGCTGCCGTTGTACCGGTCAAGATAGCGCCTAAGCCCCCGACAACCCCCGTGACATCGAAGAAGGAAGTTGGATGTGCTATTATACCAGTCAAAGTAGAGCCCAAAACGCCGACGCCGACCCTCACCCCATGGGGAGCCAGAGAACAAGCTCATCATGAAGCGGCAATTAAAGCAGTGATGGAGGAACAATGGGGCAAACCTGCCAGTATACCAGTCAAAACAGAACCCAAAACGCCGACTCCAACTCCCGCGGAACGCGAAGCCACCGCGAAAAGAGCCAGACAAGACGCTGACCATGACGCGACATTAAGAGCAGCATTGCTGGAACCAATGGATACGCCTACGCAGAGGAAGCGGAATTGGAAGAACTGGATCTATCGTAACAAACGGCGAAATCCCGAAACGCTGAACGCATCCCAGACAACGTGTATCAATGTATCCAAATCCGAGAAGTACTTCTGCTTGAACAAGAACGACCTTGAATGTCTTGCATTCGAGTCGAGGCCCAACCCTAAAGACCCCAGGCTCCCGCGAATGCACTCATACGACTACAACGAAGTGGTGCGTCTGGCTTGCAGGAAACTAGCCATTCAGGCTGGTATTTCCCAGCGCGATGAGACGGCGTTGATCGCTCGTGGGAAGGCGATGTTGGAGGAGAAGAAAGGGTTCAAGTACTATTGGGATTCCGATCCTTCTATAGTATGGATGTGGGGTTAGCGTGTGGTAGTGACGGATTCGTATCTTGGAAGCTGGGGAGGAGGGTTGTAGGCTGCATCGCCAGATCATGTGTTAGTCTTCGCAGAATGGGAATCACAATGCGCAAGCATATCGATGCAGAGAGCTAGTCTTCAAGATCGAAAAATTCATCATTCGTATATGCATCTTCATCGAGCTCTCGGCTCGTAATGTACTATCTTCCATTTAATCTGCGCCAGCTCTTGCCAGCCGATTTCATCCCCATACGTCGCGCACTGCGCGAGTCGCAACCTCGTACACCCCTCTAGTACACGTAGAAGGTCATGTTCTCGCTGTCCTGCTCGCGAAGCTTCTTGTTCTTGCGGGTAAAGAGAATCTTCGCCACCCACGCCAACAGCGCAGTCATAACGGAGAACGCAGCCGAGGAGCTGAGCGCGATGATGTAGCGAGGCTCGTCAGACTTGGGCCATAGGTATGGTGTCCTATAATTCTTGTTAGCAACAGATTCTTTGAGGTGATGAAGAAGAAGTAGAAGGGGAACTTACCAGATAAACGAAGCGTTCATAACCGTCGTCACGATACCGATAGCAACAGCCTTCTTCTCAGGCGTCTGACCGCATGTCGATCCACACCAACCCAGGATGAGCGAATTAACACCATAAGTGCCAATGGTGAAGATGATCATAGCGACGTAACGACCCGCAGTACCAATCTCAGCACAAGCCAGTCCAAAGCCAAAGGTAGCGACGGCTTTGGAAATAGTAATATGCCAAGTGCGCTCGTTGAACTTTCCAGAAGACCACGAGACAGCAATCGTGACGACACCAGCAATGAGGTAAGGCGGGCAGGTCAAAACCAAGGTGATAGTCTTGCTAAACCCAAGCGTATGGACAACGGTAGGGAAGAAGTTCTTGAACCCGTTGGCGGCAAGATGCATGTGAGCCATGAAAGCGAAGATCCAGACCATGGGGTCCTTGCCCGCTTGGCGGAAACCAGCCCAGACGGAAGTCTCGCCCTTGTTGCCGACGGTGTCGAGGGCCATGCGGTTGGTGGCTAGGTCGCGCTCTTCTTGTGTGAGCCACCATGTGTTGTGCGTGAAGTCTGCAGAGGTACGAAGTCAGTATATGTCTCACATGCACTTCGTACAGTCGTTCTGAGAACTTACCAGGGAGCAGGAAAAAGCCAACAACGGCGATGACAAAAGTGACGGCGCCTTGCAGGATGAAGAGCCAGCGCCATCCCGTGATGCCAGCGACGTCGCCGAGACCGTGGAAGATACCTGCGGCGATAAGGCCGGCGAAGGCGGTCGCGAGGATGTTTCCGGTGTAGAGGATGGCAATGCGGGTGGCGACTTCCTTGCGGGTGTAGAACATGGAGAGCAGGTAGACAGCACCGGGGTAGTAGGGGGCTTCTGTTACACCGAGGAAGAAGCGGGTTAGAAGGAGACCGGTGAAATCCTTGGAAAGAGCTGTCAGGGCGGAGACGACGGCCCAGAGCATCATGCAGCAGCCCATGTAGCGCGATGGACGGGTTCGGTTGAGGAACATGTTACTGGGAATTTGGCCAAGGAGGTATCCGACGAAGAGAATGCTCACGCAGGTTTGGTACTGCTCGCTGGTGAGGTTGAGATCCTCTTCGAGGTCGTCGAGGCGGGCCAGTGCAATGGCATTGCGGTCTAGACAGAGCGATGTGTAAGTAAGTGCTTCCAAAAAGATCACTGTGAGAGAGGAGTGACATACCAAGGTAATTGAGCCAGTACATGCTCCACAACATGGGCATAATCCATCGGTCGAGCTTCTTGACAAGCGCAATCTCTCGGGGATCAGTCTTCTCGTAAGCACCAGAGTAATCCACCTTGCCGACAATGGGCACAGGCTTCATGAGCTCTTCATCCCGAGTCATCGTCTGCTCGAGCATGACGACATCGTTCTTCTTCTCAGACATGATGGGTGGTGTTCAAAGAACCTCTCTGAAAAGATAAGAGTATGAGGTGTAAAGGGTGTGGGTAAGACGCCCGTTGGATCACCGAAGCCTGAGCTGGTTGATCTGGGGAAATCAACAATCCGGGGGACGTGGAGTAGCACTCTTATACACCTCCATCCCCGCCCTCAGCGTCGCACAAGTGCGGTGGATCCCATACTTCGCCCCAGATCCTTCTCTACAAGCGATGTTCCGAAATCACACGACAATTATCTAGGTACCTCCGCGCATGCATGCGTTCCAAGACATGGTAAGCGCGCTTCTTCCGGCCGCCTTGGACACACTTGAGGCTGAATGGCGCTGGGGGAATGGGGTCGCGGGGTCCCCGAAGGCAAGTCTGCCCGCTTGCTTGGTCTTGGAGCCTGACTATCATTGTGCGTTCTGCCGAATCGCGAACATGCAAACGTGCGGCACACAAGCTCGCAGGGTGTACCCTAGGTGCTGGGCGTGCTTAGTGCCAGGTTGGCTTTGCCGCCTCCGGCGGTTTTTTGGCAAGGACAGGTATGTCGGAGCCGGTGGTCGGTGGTCTTGTGTTCGGTCTAGTGGTGCCCGCATCGTGAACTTTGCAGTTCAGCGGGGAGTACGCGCTCACGTAGCATTGGTGCAACCTTCCACGGGGGATGTAGCACTCTGGCGTAGAGTTGAGTCTTCCAACATGCGATCCCTTGCTCTTCTTTCTCCTCAGTCCGTCCTGGCTGACGTCGCAATGAGGACACGAGATACGGTTACTCGTCCCAGGGAGGTAACCCGCAAAATACCAAGACTCTTTCCTGACATGAACGTCGCATTGATACTCCGAGCTCACTACTCGTGACTGGTTCCGGTGAGGAGCCCAGCCCCGACCCTGGAGTCTTCGTGGTCTTGTCACAGAGAAAAGGCACATTGGCAAGCCACCGAAATCTTGGTGTTGCGCCATGTCGCGCGAGGTCAAGTGTTTTCATAGCTTGTCAGTCGAGGCCAACGTCGCACATGGGCCTAGGCCAAGGGGGCCGAGACAGGTCCAAGATCTTGAGCATGCGCTGCATTGCGGGGAAACTAGATGGCGTGCACGCTTGTCGCACGGATGGGGTGTTAGACGCGGTCTTTCGGTGCGTGGTTTATGGGTCCCACCAGGTTTCTGGATGACACAAGTCCGCGGTGGGATTGGTTTGCGGTTTAGCCTGAGGTTTCGTCTCGAGGCCGCTGCTGAGGAGAAGGAGCTAAAAGTCTTTCCGCTGTGGATTCGGCCAATCAACGCGGAGCCAAGTCAGTCCGCCGGGCCTTCATCGTCTTGGCCATCATCCAACAAAGGAATATCCCACAACTTTGCTTGGTTTCTCCACGGGGCAAACCGGGTTCGTCTATCGGTACTTGGTGATGCTAAACAATGAGACGCCGCATTGATGGTTCTTGGTAAATGGCTAGTTGCCGTCTAAGCGGTGCGGCTGGTATGCAGCGGTGCCTCATCCGAGCCTGTGCCATGGAAGGATCACAGTGGAGATCGTTTAGGCCATGTGCTCAAGAGAATTTGTCGGGTCGTCCTCGTGCTTCACGGCCGTGTTCACCTGGTGGGCGGGTGCGATAGCGAAGGAAGTTGGCCAACGGATCGCGAAAACGTCCACTACCCCATGGGGTTGTGGAGCGAAACGGTTTACCAGCACTTTGGAAACCTTCTGGTGCGTTGTCGATCACTGCTACCACGAGGTCGTCTGGAAGCAGCGACCAAAGGTGGACGTCCAAGTGTTGCTTGCCGCGATAACGACCACCACGACGGCGAGTCCACCACTACTTATAACGTTACTCACGGAAAAGTATCCGTACACTGCTGTCAGGTGCCCAACCGAGGTATTGTGCGCCTACTGACAACAAGCGGGGACCTTCTGAACGTTAAGGCCGCCTGCTGCGCATTATGGGCTGTGCTACCAATGAAGAAAGTCTAAGTACGAGAAATTACCAAAGTACAACAAGCATATCTACGGATACGATCTATTCAAGACTCGCAAATCAAAACGCTGACCGAGATCTCCAGGTCTCACACCCACGCCTTCAACTCCTTCTCAGTCCACTCCCACAACTCCTTCGCCAACGCCCGATCCCTCCCTAGCTTCGTACTCGGCGTCGTCTTCACACCCACCGGCTCATAATAAGCTCCATTGACCAAGCTCTCCTTCTTGGTAGTAGCCGCCCAAGTCTGGTTATACGCCCCCTGTTCCGTATCAAGCCAATTCCCGCCGGAGATAATATTCACAACCTGACGATCCATAAAGTTCGTGCTCGCGAAAAGATCCGTCTTGATAAAGCCAGGATGCACCGCCACAGACGTGATACTCGGGTGATGAGCAGCCAGTTCAGTAGCGTAAAGCAGATTGGCTAGCTTGGACTGGCCGTAACAGACCCATTTGTTGAAGCTGAAGAAGGAACCGTAGTTTGCGCCTTTGGTCTTGAGCTTTGAGAACTCGATGCCAGTGGAAGGCACGTTTTGTTTGTAAGCTACGGATGAGAGGTTGACGATGCGGACGTCGGCGTTTGGTTGCGATGCGGTGTCGAGCATGACAGGTAAGAGCAGCTTCATGAGTAGCGCGTGGCCGAGGTGGTTTGTTGCGAATTGGATTTCGTAGCCATCTTTGCTTACGTCGTTAGGTACGGCCATGATACCTGCGTTGCACATAAGAACATCGAGGCGATCAGACGATGACAAGAACTGTTTGGCGGCAGATTGGACGGATGCGAGACTCGCGAGGTCGCACTCGATGAAGGTAACTTTGGTGGAGGGTGAGGCCATGGCGATCTTGGAGATGAGTTCATTGGCGCGAGCTTTGTTGCGACCGCTGAAGTAGATGTGCGCAGGGTTGTGAGATGCGAGAAAAGATATGGATGACGCTCCAAGACCGGTGGTGCCTGTAATGGTTAGTGGGCTGCCAGATCGGACGTAAAGGACGCCACATACCACCAGTGATCAGGAACACTCGGCCAGACTGGTCGGGAATATCGGATGCGGGGTTGAACTTGATGTTGGACATTATGTCGAGAGGATCTGTTCAAGGTAGTAAGTTCGTTCGACTTGGTGTGATAGGGTTGTGGAGTTGTTGGAAAGCTTGAGATGCTGAACAACATCCGTCGCAGCCTGCTATCTATATAGCCCATCTCTTGCGCCTCCATATCTGTATGGCTGGCCTTATGTGAGATGTGCGGAGGATAATTGGCATGATGTTGCCAGTGTTCCGGATCTCTATGCGAGGGATGTGGCTTCAACGTCATCGACGGGCATAGCTACGGCCGTTGCTGCTAGCGAAGCGCCACTGCTTGCAACCGCGCCCTAACATTGCGCCGACTCACTCAAGCATTAACTTCCGTCTCCGCGCATTAAGTACGAGAGGTCCTAGATCGACTTGCGATCGCCACTGCTATTTTGCTGCACCTCATTTTCCTCGTCTCTTCCTTCATGTGGTGTTTCTAGCAGGGAGAAGCAGAGGCTGACAGCTGCAAGCCACCCAGGCATCAACAACGAATCACATCAAAACGGTCAAACAAGCTTCGATCTCCACACGAAGGTCGATCATACCTCCGAATCTATACAGAGCCATTCCGCGGCGGTTGTGTCTTTCTTCGAGAACAGGGAGGCTAGGTGCGGGAGGGCAGAATAGTAGCGACTAGAGATGGGATAGATAAACAAGTAGAAGCAAAGCAAGGGTGTTGTTTACGAAGAAGCAGTATTCGATCAAACAAGAAGAAGAACGGGTTGAAAAGCGTTAGAAGGGAGTGTTAGATGGGAAGGCTAGTAAGGCGAAGACAATAAGTCAACACAAATTGCAAAATAAAGCCCTCGGGAGCAAAGTCTTATCTATCGTTCTCCAATCTCTTCCATATCCATAATCATCTACACACGCCCCTTCCTACAGCCTTGTTCTCGCTTTAGACCTCAATACCGAGATAGCCATCGCGAAACTTCATCCCTAGAACAGCGTTATCTGAACCCAACTTACAAATTACGCCACACCGCAATATAACAGCAACATAATAGCTACATGCCTGTTCTACCTTCCTCGCTCTCCGCAGAGTACACTCATCCTATATCCAGCGCGAACCGGAAGGCTTAGGAAGGTACACAAAAACTAGAGCATGGAGTCGTAAAGCGAAGATCTAAATAAGAGTTTCGCCAGGCCTAGTTAAATTAAGAAAGATAACAAAAGACCAGCAACAAGGGTGTTGTTTATGGGATTACTAGGGCGTAGGATAGTCGTCTGGTAGATGTAGAATTTACATGTAACATCTTGGCCACTACAAGTTGTACTCGCTCAACTCCACCAGCCTTGCTCACATTCCAAAGTACAATGTCGGATCTTCTTGAAGCACATTATCTCATAAATACAGTGCGTAATTCTTGCCCAGGTGCGTTCAAAGGTACCAACATCCATGGCTAGCCCTTCCCCCATCCGGCAACCGCACTAGTCCGCATAGTACCACGACACGCGAAATTAGGCAGACGCGCAACGGCGGACCTCCGCTTCTGGATCTGAGCCATTTTCGTGCGGCTGAAGATCACATTTCAAAGCTATGGGGTCAGGGTCCTTTAGATATGACGAATCACATTCAGCAAATCGGTCGTTGGGGGCGGGAGCTACTCGAGGCGGATGCATTGAGGGCTCAGTTGGGATGGTGGGAGGCTAGAGAGGAGGGTATATAGTTGGATTGCGCCGTGAGCGACGGAGAAGGAACTAGCTACGTATGTTTTGCAGTTTTGCGTATATGGAGCTGATAGCTCGTTGCCTGCGCGGCTGGCTTCCGAACAGTCCGAGAGAAAGAGATAGAGAAGGGATAAAAAGATGGGGTACTCCGTAACGCCTGAGCTATGCTTTTGTGTCCTGGGTATGCCATTCTGCGGACAGATATCAAGTGGAAAGGAAGAGGTATGAGAAGAGAAGAGCAATTGGGAAGAGAAAGAAAGACGAGAGAAGTGGGAACTAACGGTAAGAGATGGGGTGAAGCCCATCAAACATCCCCCATCGCCCTCAGTACCGGCGCGGTTCAGGCGGTCTCGGCACCCTCGCATGCTGCGCGCGATGCCTCCTGCCATCCCTCTCGCGCCTACTTCCATTCATCTCAACGAAATTCCCCGGCGGATGTGTCAAGTTATGATTCCCACCCTTCAACTCCTTCAGATCCTCACTATCGATCAACCTTCTCTGCCACAGGTATTCAAACAGCCGGAAATCCGGTCGCGAAGTCCGCAACGTCTGCCCGCGCATCGTGTGTCCGTACGCCAAATGCTCCATACGCATTTTCCATGCCTGCCTCCCCTGATCACACGTCACTTCCCAGTCGCACAGCGGGCATTGGGCCGTCAGCGGTGGTTCCTCGCCGCGGAAGTGTGCGTGGCAGTGTGTTTCCCACTCTTCTTTGTTCTGCGAGACGTAGTTGCAGTTCAGAAACCAGAAGGCGCATTCGTAGACGGGGGTGCGGAAGTGTGCGGGCGGTATCTCCAACACGCCGTTGTTGTCTTCGAGGAGCGGGACGCCAGACAGTTGGCTGACGAGGCCGGTGCTTATGCTTGTTTCGGTGGGCGTGGCGTCGGTGATATCGGTGATGCAAGAGCGGAGGGAAGGAGGGTTGTGGGTTGGGTTGTGCTGGTGGAGGAGAGCCCCAGGAGCCATCGACGATAACGACCCGCTCTTGATTGTGCTCCCGGTCGCACGCAGTAGATGCTCTGTATCCGTCTGAGGAAGCCCTTGCAGGTACTCCTCGGAGAAAAGGACTAGTCGCGCGGAAACGTCGGGCTGTTGGACCCAGTCGTCGAGCGGGCGGGTCAAGACGCGATTATTATTGTCGTGTCTGAGGGCGGCGGCCAGCGACATGCTCGCGGTGGGACTGGCGGGGTGGGCTGCTGTGGCGCACGGGGGATCAGCCTCAGCCTCGTACGCAGATTCATTGGAGAGAAGGCTGAAGACAGCCTTGCGAACGACGGCATTGCATGCAAGCGAATCAGAACTCACTGGGTGGTCGCGAGGGCGTCGTATCTTCGCCCGGCATGGTGGAGTGTTGGCGATGCTAGCAGGAAGGGTAGGGCTTAGCGTGTCGACTCCCGCTGTCTGTCAGTGGGGTTAATCCGTTTGGTGTCAGGACTTTGAACTGACTTGTGCAGTCACTATGAAATGGCGTCCTTGTATCTCAAGCGAAGGGGTCTATCTGGAGAGCTAAGTGCAGCACAAATACTTGCAGACTTGCGGCTCTGCTGTGGTGACGAGATACCGGACATGACCCCGCTGCCCACCCTCTTTACGCACCACATCATACATCAAGGTCTGAACTACTCGCCAGACTATCCGCTGTTGCGCCACGCCGATACTCGACGACCCGCTGTACTGTTGAAACGGTGGATTGATTGGAGCGGTAAGGTGCATACGGACGGCTGCCAACAGAAGCGGGGCGGTGCCCGTCCAGCGAACACCCTCCCCACGCTTCTGCCGACCGCTTGTTTGGCACTGAACGGGTTCCCTCAGTATGGCGAACTGTCGGTGTGCCGTATCTTGCTCGTGGGCGGCTAATGGTCATGATGGCTTGATGTGTTCAGGCTACTGCATGTTCATCTGCACTTTGATGAGTGCAGTCCAGGGCATGTGATGATGAGATCATCCCCGTGGGCTGTTCGCACTTTATGGCCATATCGAATACAGAGCTCGTCCTAGATGCAATGGAAGTACTTGTGCCAAACGAAACAGAACTTGCCTTTCGTCACTATAGAAGAGACGACGGACTAGATGTACTCATCGTCATCTGTTATGCATGCTACACACTAGAATGGAGCGGATAGTGCCGAGCACATTGACTCATGGCTCTAGCTTCTAGGGTTCCAAGGTTGTCTTGCACCTGGACACGACTGTCCTTGAGTTGCGCAACCGCTAACACTCTAGTTGAGATGTGGTCGCAATCAGATGCTGTCCACCTCGGTTCAAACAGTAGTAACTCGTTGGTCTCATGTCTTGACGATGCATAGCGGAGTGGTGACGGCGTGGTCTTGGCGCCAGCTTCGCGTTTCACATCCCAGTCGATCCTGCCTCATCCAGCGACTTGCGACACCACCTCCCGCTTGCACAAAGAGCGCATTCCACGATATGGATCCTCATGAAGATGCGATTCAAATGAAAGGTCTCGCTGGGAAAGACTGGGAACCGCCATGACTATTACTCCCACATCAACGCCAACATCAGAGTGTGGCCGCACGTGAACACTACTGTCTCAGAGTATCGTGTCTAAGCGTCTGACCGCGTCTGAGAGTCAGAAAACTGGGGATCAGCCTCGCATGGCTGCACGGGTACGCCGCCCCTTCATGCGCTTTACTTTTTCCATCCGAACCTCATGCTCTCTGCTAACGGCATCCTTGAAGCCTGTACTCCCCGTTCCGCCCTGTTCCCGCGCGACGAACGCGGTTCACTGCACCCGTACATCATTGCCTCGTGTTTGAACAGGATCGGCACAACCTCCATGCCCGCAATTCCCAACATCTCGCGTTAACATTTCGATCGACCGAGCTGTCACCGGCAGCTTCGTCGACATGCTGACGCTCCACTCGCTCTTGCACCTCCCTCCCGTACTCCTCGCTGGCCTCGTAGCACGCGCATACGCAGCCCCCGATGGCGTTATCGGCGACGACAAGGGCGCGGACAGGCCTACCTACGCGACAGCTCTCACGGGTGGCGAGGGCTGCGACTTCTCCGAGATTGAAGACATCCGCGATGGCTTCTCCGAGATGACAATTCTCTTCGCCGCCGCCACGCCCTTCGACCTCACATCCCAACCCGCACGAGAGTTCTTCGGCCCCTCGATAAACGCCAACTACACCGACATGATAGCCACGAACCTGCAACGCGCCGCCAACTTCGGCGTCCTGGAAGGAGGAACCGGCGCCGTAAACTCTGACATCCACATTCGCTGCGACGACCCCATGGACCTCTGCGACAAAGGCAACAAGCGCGAAGGCGACCACGCCGCCTACAACATCGGCAACGAACCACACATCGTCTTCTGCTCCGACTACTTCCGCATGGACTCGCTCAATAATCGTATTAATAAGAAAGCCGACAACCAAATGGAGAAAGACCGGCTGATGGAATACTACAACCGCGCCTCCCTCTGGGCACGAATGGTGATGCACTTCGCCTCCATCGGCACAGCCGTCGTCCAACGCCCCATGCCCGCACCTCCCAACTCGACATCCGAATGGCTCATCTCCGTCTCGGAAGGCGCAATGAACACGTCCGTCCTCGCCGGCGTTCTCAACGAACAACCCGAAACGCCCACCGACTTCCAAACTCTCAAATACGCATACGGCGCCACGCGCTCGAAACTCCTCGCCGTCCTCTCCACGCAAATGTCATATGATGCGGCGAACAACGCGGAGAATTATGCGTTGTACGCGCTGGCGCAGTATATCATTCAGAACAAAGGATTCTATCCTGCGGTTCCGATTATGGATTTTCCGAATGAGGCGAGTGTGCTTACGAATGAGAACTTGCAGGATGGCGAGAGAGTCAAGTATGCGTATTTCGATGCTGTGGATGTGGTGGCGAGACCGACGGATATGGAACTCAAGGGTGCGCCGTTGCCTTCGAAGGGTGCGGTGGTGAATGCTAGAGGAGTGGGGATTATGGTTGTTGCGTTGGGGATTGGAGCTACGCTTCTACTGGCGCCGTTCGGATGAAAGATCAGGAGGTTTGCGAAACGGAATACCTGGTTTTTAACGAGCATGTCGACATCAGTTACGGGAACATTTCCCCGAGGCCTGTCGATTGTCCCAGTTACAACTACCGAGGAAGAAGAAGGACATCGCCACGCCATAACGCCTCCAAGCCCCATAAGATATAGGTCGCATCACATCCGATTCTACGGCGGCATCCAACACCCTGCCACCCAGCGCGGACAACACATGCTTGGTGCATTACAACATGCAAGCCTGCCCGCGCAGAGCACATGCCATCGTCGGGCCCTCTTCTAAGAACCTCGGCTGGTGCTGTATCGTTGGCGACGCTGAAATTCATTCCGCGTCAGCAATGATACAGCACCAGCTCAGGCTTTTAAAAGAGGGCTCGTCACGAGAGACAAGGGTTTATCCGACGACTTCGACCGTGGCCGAGGCAGCAGCATGTAATCGGTCTTGCTACCTACCTACCTATCTACCTACTTACTTACCTACCTTGGAACCCCCAACGCATATATCAAGAACAGCAAGCCCGGCGCGGGGCCTATTCACCCCCCTCAATCGTTTCGAACCTTAGTATCGAACACCCAGCACCCGCACACCTCTTCTCAAATATGGCAAGCAGTGCGTGTAGGTGTTCGATGGTCTTATTACGAAAAGGTTCGTAAGAAGACGATAGAACGAGTCCACGCGCTACTTGCCGCATTTGATAAGAATATCTGTCTGGAGAAGGGAACGCAATAGCAAGACACAGTCGCCCGCTTAACAAACTCGACTGGCTGTGTCCGGAACCTCTCTATCCATTTCCCTCGTCGCAATACATACTCTCAGGACAAGAACAGCAAGCGGGCCTCTTCACCTTCCCTTCAAACATTCAGTATCAAGACATCTGAAGAGTCGTCACTATCGTCTTCTATTATGCGTTAATAACGCTTGTCACGGTTACATGCGCTGTCTACCGCATGGTAGAAGATGGTGATGATGATTCTTCAGATGTTTTGATATTGTGATTTTGAGCGGGAGGGTGGATATGGATATGGGTATACAAGAAGAAGAACCCTTGACACATATACCAAGCACAACCAAGCCCGGCGAGGAGTCCCGTTTTTCCCGGGTGGGTGGGGGAGGCGGAGGGGAGGCGGCGGGGTGGAGGAGGGGCGGAGGTGGAAGTTTCTGTTCTCGAGGTCTTCATCAGGTATGACACGCGCTGTCTACCGCATGGTGTCCATTTCACCTTCCCTCCCTCTCCCCCTCCAAATTTACGAAGTTCAGTGTCAAGCACCTAGCACCTACCATCTCCCCCGCACAGTCGTCTCATAGTGTGGGAGACAACGTGTATAACACCTCGCATCGTCTCGGCACTAGAAGTTTTTCTGCTGGTAACCAGGAGTTGGAGCGATTATACGCGGTGTCTCCCGCATTATGAGAAGATTGTGAGGGGGTTGTGGGGGGCGAGATGGTTGGGTGGAGTGGGGAGGAGAAGTGAGGGGAGAGATGGGGAGGCAAGGGATGGGATGGGGTGTGGATGGGGTGCGGATAGGGAGGGGGTGTGGATATGGATAAAAGGGTAATGATAGATGGGCTTTTATGAGAGGGAAAGAGAGAGGGAAGTTGCTATTTGTTGTTAAGAGATCAACATCTTCCCTTCTCTCTATCTTTTAATATAACAACTGCGTGTATCTTCCAACCCAACAACGGCTTATAACCCAACGCCCATCCATCTTTCTCCCCTCTATCTGATCGAACCATTTCATCTCTGCAAATTACAGACACCTTCCTCGCCTTCTCGATTTCTCCATCCATCCCCATCTCCAGTCGCCCATCTTCCTGCCCTCACTCCACACCCAACCCGTTGTCATCGCGGCGGCGATTGTAAAGATCTCATCGTGCTAGTTCCATTGACGAAACCATATGTGAGAGCCTTCGGAGAAGTAGGGTTACCAGCATCCAGCGTCTGCATGATTCTTGTCTTGATGATCACAGGCGTCGTAAGTGGTTCATCAGCTTTACATCATCGCCTGTGCTATCGCAGCACCACAGGATGGCGACGAATTCAAGTCCGAATTTCACAGCATCTTTCACCCAACTGACCTTCACGCTAAAGAACAGGCAGTATACATCGTACGCGACACTTCATGACGGACAGCATATATATATATATATATTCCTTCCATTTTGACAGTATTGTTTCAAAATATCGCGGGACTAACTAGACTCGCTCTGTAGATACGCCATGGAGTCCTGTGCACTCCGTCCTACCAACCAACCTGTCCAGCTCTAGAATGAACACTTTATCATACATATTGAACAACAACTCCACCTTCACAGTCTTTCCGCCCAGGAACCACGTCCACAACCCAACAGTCACCATTTCACTTCTTCTTCCCCTTAGGCGCAGCCTTCGCCTTACCCTTACCCTTAGTCTTAACCTCCTCCTCCTCCTCCTCATCCTCCATCTCCTCATCATCGTCATCTTTCTTCTTCTTCCCGCCCTTCGCCTTAGCCGCCGCCCCCTTCTTCGGCGCCGCCTTCTTCTTCGGCTGCTTAACATATTTATCCTTTGACAAATCCACATCCTCCTCTTCATCCTTGACCTCCTCCACAACCTCGCCATCATCAGATTCGTCAATCGCTTCTTCAAGATCCGGTTTCTCTTTGGCTTGCTTCTTGGGTTGGGCGATGGATGAGGCTTTCATGAAGGGGAGGGGGTGGGATTGTTGGTTGTAGCTGTGGAAAAGGGGCGTTAGTGGTGTACGGGGGCGATGATGAGATAAGGGGGGGACTTACAGGCGTGTAAATGTGGATTTGGTTTGAGAATCAATCTTAACCTTCTCTTGGTCCATAGGTCCAACACCCAGTTCCATGATCGCGTCGAAGTCGTCTTTGGTGAGGTAGTAGCTGTCCATCAGCTCGATGACCTGTGGGACAGCGTCTTTGCCTTCTTTCTGCAGCTTCTGAACTAGGTCCGTCCAGAGAAGTGGGACGTACTGCTGTCGAACCTCATGTCGGTCACCGGACGACCGCAACCTCATGTGAGCTTGAATCTCCTTGATCATTCGGCTCAGCTTGTTTGTAGAACTGTTCTTTCCTAGCCATGACGTGAAGCGCGTCTGGTTACCAGCAGTGCTACCAGCAACATAGCTTGCAGGTCGGACGAAACTGAAGACCGCGTGTGTGGGCATCAGACTCCACTGCTGTTGAGAGCCGTGAATCATGCGATCCACGAGATCACCATCACTGATACTGTCGGCTGCTAGTGACGCCAACTCCAGATTCTTCAGGTTCTTCTCTTTGCCAGAGTAGTTCAAGGACTGCATCGGGTTCGTGCCGAGGTAGTTCTCCTGCAACATCAACGGACTGAACTCGTGGTCGTTGAAGTAGAGCTCAATCTTCTCGTTGAGCGTGGCTTTGCTGCTCGAGGCAAACATGCCGCCACCGAGAATCTTCTGCGTGATGTCCCATGGCTTCAAGATGACATGCTTCTCCCAGCTCTTAGACATCGTCTTGCCCTTGTCGAAATCCATGGCTGTTTGGTCGAGTTTGGCTGTGGAAATCATGTTGACGACCTGGCGTATATCGGCGTGACTGCCCTCAATGAGTGCATTGACAACTGGCGCAGGCATCTTCAAGCCTTCTCGGTATGCGATGGTCATGATGCGTGATCGTACTTGGTCGACAGTGGGCCGTCGGAAAGGCAAATCGAATGTAACGTAGTCGAAGGGCTTCATCTTTGGCAGCTTCCTGTCGTTGCAGATGAGAATCATGGGAACCTCCGTCTTCTTGCACACGGCTGCGAGCGCACCGACACCACCACGGTCACCCGCAGACATGCCGTCAACTTCATCCATGATCAAAACGAGCTTCTTCTTGGCCGCCTCAACCTTCTTTCCGTCTCCAGCAAAGTAGCCGTGGAGTGAGTTGGTGCTGAGGACACCACGTAGACCGTCCTCGATGAGCTTCTTACTTCGGGTATCACTGGCGTTTCTCTCCACAATATCGTATCCCTCCAGCTTGGCGACGAGATGAGCTGCAGTAGTCTTACCAATACCGGGTGGACCATGCAGCATGATGGCACGGAAGTTTCCGCTACCGTCTTTGCCAGCGAGCTTGAAGCCAGTCTTGAGGTTCTTTGGGAACATCTGCAACCAGCGCTGGATCCTCTCAACCGTCGCCTTGTTGCCGCAAATCTGGTTGAGTGATGTGGGCGCATACTTGGTAGTCCACAAACGGGAGTCTACGGCCGGGCCTGCACTCTGAGCAGCTGCTGTGACGGCAGAGGCTGTCTTGCTACCGGAAGCTTTCACTGCTGCCGACAGCTCTTTCTGACGCTTCTTCTCCTCTTGCTCAAGCTCTGCAGCTTGCTTCTTGATCTTTTCCTCCTCTTTGCGTTGCTTCTCAGCGTGCTCGGCCTGTGCCTTGCTGTCGCCCTTGTTGCCAGCCGCAGTCAGCTTCTCGATAAGCACCGTCAGGCCATCTTCGTCGATCGTCTTGATTTCCATCTCCTGAATCTTCCGCAGTTTGCTGGGGCCGGCATCTGTGCCTAGCACAACATAGTTGGTTTTCTTGCTTGGAGCGCCAGTCACCTTTCCACCGTGCCGTTTCACCAGCTCTTGAGCTTCAGTTCGACCCCACTTCTGCAGCACTCCGGTGAAGACGAATGTTAGGCCTGCAAGACATGTCTCTGAGCCTGAGGGCATCTCGTTGGATCCGCCTCCAAGTGGTGCAGCTTCCCCACGACCTGCATTCGCCTGCCAATTGAACTTGGCATTGTCGTCTTTGGGTGGTGGAGTGGGCGCGCGCACGGTAGGAATGCTGTCGTAGATGGCCTGGATGTCTGCACTATCTTCGACCTCCTCCTTCTTGGCCTTCTTTTTCGCTGGCGATTTGGGTGTCGTCGTTGTGGCCTTCTTCGGTCGTCCTTTCTTGGGTTTCTCCTCCTCTTCCTCTTCGTCGTCAGATATGGGTGACTTTCGCTTCTTGCCTGCGGTCGATGTCTTCTTTGGCTTGCTCTTCAGTGCTTGCTCATCCTCGTCGGGCTCTACAAGTTCGTCTTCCGCATCGATGTCCTTCATGTCGATGTCTTCATCTTCTGGGTCGAAGTCGTCCTCATCCTTGATCGTCTTCTGCTGCTTGGCTGGGGCCTTTGGTGTTCCGCGATGTGGCAGCTTCACGGGTACGTCGTCATCGCTGTCCGAGGCTTCCTTGTAGTCGTCCTTGCCTTTGCCCTTGATGTTGGCCTCGAAGATATCGTCTGCGTCCTCCAGGTCGTCGTCCGGGAACTCGTCCTCGTCATCCCGCTCGGCATAGGATGTAACGGGTTTCTTCGCTCGGCCAGATGCCTTAGCATTGGTAGCCGGAGTAGCCGTCTCCGAGGCCTTTCCGTTCGCCTTCGCAGGTGCCTTCTTCGGTGTCGCAGCAGGTGTCTCCGCCGCCTTCTTCTTGACAGGTTCAGTTCGCTTGGGCTTATTCGAGCTGGCGAAAAAGTCGGATGTGGTGGTCTCTTCGAGTACGGGTTCTGGCGTCGGTTCGCGCTTGACCTTCTTCGCAGCAGGCTTCTTTGGTGTCGCTTTCTTCAGTCTGTACAATGTCAGGTTTGACGTCACCAAGCAAGAATTGTACACCTACTTTGTCTCTTCCTCATCATCGTCGTCAGAGTCCTCTACAACACGACTTGTGCGACCCTTCTTTTTGGGTGCGGCCTTCTTGGGCGCAGGCTCGTCTTTCTTCTGAGATCCCTGGCTTGCCTTCGGGGGCCCGCCGCCAAAGAAGCTGCGAATGTCGGCAGGCATCTTGACGATGAAAAACGCGTACAATTAGCGAGTGGCAGTGTGACGCGTTCGCTGACAAGTGTTGAGCCAAACAATGGTTGGAAACGGGGTTTGGGTGGGTTGATAGACAACAGGCGCCATTGACGTGCACGACGCGACTTCGCGCGGTCATTAGGCAATTAGGCAGGCGCATTGACGCCACACCCCCGCGTGCGCCACAGCAGCCACAGTTATGTCTTGGCATCAGAACTTCGACACCAAAGTTACAGAACGATTGGCCTGGTGCAGGTCCAACATCACAACGCTATGCCGCCACCAAGGATATCACAAAGCCTGCTGGCTCAATTCGGGAGACTGAACATCTCCGCATCACGGCCAACACGTACGACGCCCAAATTCTACCTCCGACAGCTCTGCTAACAAACACCCAGTCCTCCAGCAGACATGCCTCTCCAAACCCCAACCCTCCGCCATTAATACCCCCCGCCTCTTCTCCACAACCCGTCCCACTCTCAACTACCTCGCCCCCAAAGCCGGCGAATCACGCAAATCACGAAAAGGGCGCTGCCGCGTCCCCACCGGCGGCAGCATGCGCGGCACAACCGTCGTCTGGGGCGACTACGGCCTGCGCATGCGCGACCACGACCGACGCATCTCCGCCCAACAACTCCGCATCGCCGAAGAAACCATCCGCAAGCGCTTGCGCGGCATGAAATTCCGGCTCTACATGCGCATCGCCGCCAACATCGGCGTGTACACCTCCGGCAACGACGTGCGCATGGGCAAAGGAAAAGGTAGTTTCGACCGCTGGACTGCGAGGGTGGCGGTGAGCAAGATCATCTTTGAGATTCAGGGGGATTTGCATGAGCAGGTTGTTAAGGATGCGTTTAGGCTGGCGGGGAATAAGTTGCCGGGGTTGTATGAGTTTGTGAGGAAGGGGGATGCGCCCGTTATGGGGATCACGAAGGTGGGGTTGAATGGGGTTACGGAGGAGGATTTGAAGAGGCCGAGGAGGAAGGAGCCGCTTGAGCAGACGGCTGGGAGGATACCTGATGCGAGTTCGTCTGCGCCGGCGAATGGGCCGAGGGTGGAGATGTAGATGGGGTTTGGGATGGAGGCTGTGGACCGGAAGAATTGAGGTCGTCTGCCAATTCAGCTGCGTGGACGATGTTGTCAAGTGTAAATGCAATATGTAGCATGTATCATAAGAGAACATGTATTGAACTGTACAATTTTGGAATCGACAATGGACAGTATGATCAATATCAACCCTGAAGAAAGCACAACAAATAATGAATGGGGTATGTAGGTATCAACACGCCAGCCCAGCTCTCGCCTCATCAATCAAAACATTCCCCTCACGCCTTATACAAAGTATCCAAAAACCCCTTCGCCAAATCCACAACAACACTCTTATTCGGCAGACTCCCCGCGACACCATACAACGCAGCCGTATCCCCCTTAACGGCGCCCTTCGCGCCCTTACCCTCCGCAATCCTCTTCCGCTCAGCATCCCTAACCTCCTCCGTAACCTCAACCAGATCCTCAATAAGCTTATCCACCACCGCAACAATCGGCAGCGTGACAGCAATGTGAATAGCAGGCGGGTTCTGGAGCGCATTTAAATGCCAGCCTTTACCGGACATGCCATCAGCGATGTCGTAGATATCGAGGGTGTTGGACAGGAAAGATACGACGGAGACCATAGGGCGACCGATGATCTTGAGATCGGCGGAGAGCTCAGGTTTCTCGCGGATGGCGGTTTCGATCTTCTTCATGCCGCCGACGATTTTGTGGCAGGCGTCGAGGTAGCCGTTTGCGCCTTGCTTGACGAGACTGGCCCAGCAGCCTGCGATTAGGGCACCGGGGCGCGAGCCAGCGATCGAGGGGGATGCGTAGACGCCGCCGGACCAGTCAGGCGAGATGAAGTATTGGTACTTGCGGTATACGTCGGAGCGGTAGAGGACTGTGGAGTTTCCTTTGGGCGCGAAGCCGTATTTGTGCGTGTCGCAGGAGATGCTGGTTACACCGGGCAGACGGAAGTCGAAGGGCTCGAATTCGAAACCTGCTTTGGGGAGCATGGGGATGATGAAGGAACCTAGACAGCAGTCGACGTGGAGGGGAATCTTCTTCTTGACTGCGAGTTTACTGAGGCCGGAGATGTCGTCGATGATGCCGTGGGGAAAGTTGGGCGCAGAGCCGACGAGGAGGACGGTGTTCGGGTTGATGAGACGGGAGACGGAGGGTAGGTGGACCTTGTAGCTCGGTGCTTTGCATGCCACGAGGTGCATCTTTATCTTGAAGTACTCGCAAGCCTTGCGGAAGGCCGTGTGTGCGGTTTCAGGCAGGATCATCTCAGGCTGAGTGACGCCACGCTCAGCGTACGCCTTGTTGCGTGCGGAGAGACAGGCCATGAGGATAGACTCTGTGCCGCCAGACGTTGTAACACCAGCCGCATCGTCTGGTGCGTTGAAGAGGGAGAGCACCATAGCCACAATCTCGGCTTCCATCTTCCTCACACCAGGGAACACATCCGGGTGGATGGGGTTCGCAACCGTGAACTTGCCAAACGCCTCCGTCTGCAGTCTGATCAACTCCTCCCCACCGTGGTACACCGCACCGCTGACTCTTCCATCTTCCCACCGAGTATGCTCCATATCAGCCAGTTCGCCCAGCTTCTTGCGCACCTCCTCTTCGCTCCATCCTTCGGCGGGCAAACTGGTGATGCGCTCGACGCCGGGACCGCTCGGAACAAGTTTGCGTTCGAGTTTTAGGAGCGAATCAGACACCTGTGCCTGTACCTTGTCGCGCACGCCGGGAAGTCGCAGGAAGACGCCGTAGAGGTAGCGGCGAATGCTGATGTAGGCATCGCTGATGGAGCCGAAGATGCCGCGTCCTTTGAGTTGGTAGAAGGTGATGCGTGTCCAGCGGAGGAGGAAAAGGACAAAGATGATATTGCGCAGGCTAGATATCTCATGTCAGTATTCCACTCTATCACTTATCGTTATCGGAAGGGAGGGGCGCATACACGTCGATGTTCAAGGCGACGAGCTGGCCATTAGCGGAGCTCTTCCGCGCATTGAAAGTGTCTCGGAGACTGACGGGCAAGCGCGATGAGCCGGGCATCGTGGGAAGGGTGCGCGGGTGGGCGACTGTGTGTAGGGTATCAATCAAGTCTACGCCAAAGACATGATAGTAGGAATGTGGAGTTTGGGTCGCGGGTTGGCGCTCTGGTTAAGCATTTGCAAGAGGGCTTGCCATGTACGTCAATCACATGTCGCAGCCACTGGCGCAACGGCTTCGGACTGCCGAGGAACCCGCGTCCGAGATCCTAGCGGGGCATTTCCACTTTGGGAAGCTACTCCTACATAACAGCCACTCGCAAGTAACATCAAGCCATAGTAGTCGGATTATATTATCTGAGATAGAGTGACAGAGGCCATCAATCAAAAATCTAAGTTTCGACAGGCAAAAGCCATGAAGCTGCGGAGGATTTCCACCCCGCAGCCTCCCCCACCCGCCCCGCTACGCCTACACAACAGCCATTTGGAAGGCTTGGACACTGAAGAGAAGCGAGATCATGGTAATGGTAGTCTGATCGTATAACTTGGAGCCAAGATAACTACACCACCAGCCTAATCCATCATACCATGCCACCTCCAATGCGCACCCATAGCAAAACTCGGCATAACAGCACCACACTCCTCACAGCGAAAAGAATCGGCATCTGTCATATTTTCTTCATCCTCCTCCCAAACATCCTCTACATCCACAGGAGAACCAATCTTCTGTGACGAAGTGGGCAAATCCTCAGAACCTTGCCTGTGAATAATCTCACCTGTCGGCCAAGCCTCGTCCATCATGTATTCTGCTCGGTGCTGTCGCGCTGCTGCCAACCAGGGCGGTTCTTCTGATGATAGCGATTCTCTTGCTTGAGCTTGGTCTTCATTTACTGCCTCTTCTTTGAGTATAGATGGTTCTTCGTCCCTCATGTATTCCTGTCGTTGGCGCCTCGCGGCTAGCAACCAGGGCGCTTCATCTGGCGACGGGGATGCTTCGACTTGAGGTTTCTGTTCACTCACCCAGTCTTCTTCAAACATGGATGGTTCTTCATCCATCATATATTCCCGTCGTTGCCGCCTTGCTTCTTGCAACCAGGGCGCTTCATCCGGCTCTGGCGATTCTTCAACCCTCACCCGCACTGCACTCACCACCCCATCCCCACCCATCGCCGACTCATCATCCACCCTCCATTGCCTCAACACCTCATCCTGCCTCCTAAACATCTTCCCAATATCCCTCCCCACGCCACCCCTCTCCCTCGCCGCATCCGCCATATTCGTCGCCGCAACATTAACCAGACTAAGATTCCATCCCTTCTTCTCCGGATGCAGCTTGCGAAACAGCGGTAGCAACGTCTCGGACAGCAGTTTCTCGACCACGGCATCCATAGTATTATTGTTGTCTTTTAGGCTGAAGACAAACGTTGGCATGGGTCCGGATTTGGATATGCGTGCAAAGGACCGATTGCGGGTGCCATCTGGGTTTTGGGGCGCCCGTGGTCGGGTTGATAGTCGGAGTGTTTTCGGGTGAGCGAGCCAGCGCTTCATAGGCTTTGAAGTGGTGGCGGAAGTTGGAGCCGTGGATAGGTCGTGTGCATCGTCATCTTCTTCTAGGAGATCGGTGTGCATTCGCTCGAGCAGTCTTTTCGCTAGCATGCGAAGCTCTTTGGTCACGGCTTCAAGTGTGTCTAGGCGCATGTAGCTGTCTTCTATACTGATCTGACGCGGTATTTCGCGTGCTTGGCCGACTTCTGTGTCGTCACAGCCGTTTAGTAGACCCCACACTTTGGTCCCGGTGCCATGTGGTACGCCCGGACCACCGAGTATCCGCTCCAACGTCTCCGGACCGATTCCAGGATGCGTCCTTACATCGCGGACAAGAACAGCCTCTTTAGTCCCACCATACACCAGTCCAGCATCAAATTCTGCCGGCCGCTGCAGTAGGTGGGTACGGAGCTTTTGTGCTATCTTGAACCCTATGCCGGGAATCTTGCCGACTTCGTGATCATCGATGAAGGCAGTCACGTTGTCGATAGTCTCATCGTCTTCACCAGATGTATAGGGCGGGACCAGTGTAGTCTGAGCATTGGGCTTGTATGTGTTGCCAACAAGCTTTGCCAGAAGCTTGTTAGTAGAGATGCCAACCGTGGCCGTGTAGCCCTTCTCTGCCTCGAGTCGAGTTCGCACGTAGTGTGCTAGATGGCTTCCTAGAGCCAATCGGAGGTGCAGCAGATCGGGCGTGGTGCCTACAATCGATCAGTTCCAACGTTCGGCTATGTACAGCATCTTATGGCGCATACGGTGGGCACCTGCATAATCGAATCACAGACTCTTGGTGGCAGTTTCATAGGCACGGTTGCTGGTCTCAGTAGCCGCAAGGATTCAGCAAGGGCTGTCAGCCTTGCCGTTCGCGGTCCATTCCAAGAAGATGTTTTTGCTACGCCACACCGTATACGCCGTGTGTAGCTTACCTAAGTGTTCAGAGGCCGTTTTGGGGTACAAATGACCCGTCAGCTGCGTCGCATCGTAAGGAAACCCCACAGTGGGATCATTCCTGTCGAGACAGAAGAAGGCGTTGCTGAGGTCATTAGAGTTGAGAATGCTGACATTGTAGTCGATCATGTCGGTGACATCTAAAAACACCTAGCCCGCCTTAGCATGACTCGCATGAACGATACGGTGAGGGAACAGAGAACGTTGGGACTAAAATGAGATTGCAAAGGTGGCGGTGCTGAGACACGAGGGTCGAGAGTGGAAAGGCGACCAGGAAAGACAAACCTCATCAAAGCCTAGTCGTTCACAACGGGAGTTCCAGGAAAACGATCGCAAGAAAGCATAGAGTTCTTTGGAAGCATTCCGGAAGCGGGTAAGATCTTCGCCCAGGACGATGACTACATCTGGGCAGACCTTCTTCGCTTCGTGGATCAGCTGCAGCTTGTGCAAGCCCTGGGAGAGTCAGACTGGACCGATGACAAGGGCACGGCGGTAGTCAAGGGATCGTACGCGTCGGCGGGCCTCATAGTTGCATGTGACGACTATCTGTTTTTGCTGCACGGCCAGTGGCAAGCGTCGTAATGCTGGGTTTTCATGTTCAAATACGCTGGCGTAGAAGCAGTCCTGTGGGGAGGGGCACGGTATACGTTACTCTTCTGCGCAGACTCGGCCGCACGCGGTAAGAAGTACGTACGTAGTCCTGTGGATACGAGGGAAGGTTAGTAGGTGAGGCCGAATAGGGCGACCAAGGCGTGAAGGCTGTGCCTGGTGCTTACGAACAAAGTGGACGATGACGGAGCCGGTCTGGCGTTTCAGTTTCTTCATGGAACAGATGTAGGCAGAGAAGCGCCGGTGTTGTGCAGCAGTTTCAGCGGCGTGCGTGTCGTGTGGAGATGCAGGTGGTGGTGCAGCGGGTGATGAAGCGCGCGTGAAGGCGCGACGTGTGTGGCCAGGTGCGAAACGCCGCGGGTGGTGCCAAGCGCCGGGCGCGGGTAGCCCAATTATGTTTGCCACGCTGCATCTATCTTTGGACAAGCCTAGTGGCTGCTGGGTATTTTGGGAGCAGCCCCAGCCAGGCGCTTCGTGTTCAAGTCTCCGCTAAAGACCGTCCTGGTGGATCCGCAGCCGACATGGCAGTGTTTAATAGCGATGTGCCCCTCTAGCACTCGCCTGTCCCCAAGTATTCGCAATATCATCTGCACACTTCCGGCACCAGCCTCATACCCGTGGACACCCCCCACATGATGCTGTCCACCCTCCAGCCCTCCCACCCAGCATCATCTGCCATGTCCGGTATGACCTCAATGACTTCCTCCATGGCCGCCTCGCTGCCTATAATACCCCCGCGCCAGGCCCCGCCCCGGCCCAAACTCTCCATCAACACTGAGCAGCCGCGCATCCTGGGCAAAGGTGCCAGTCTCCGTCTTGAAACCCTCAGTGCCGTCTCGCCCACCGTCCGCAACACCTTCTCCAACGCCTATGAGCGCCCGGCGACTGCCCCAACACTACAACGCCCCTCAAGACCCCAGCTCTCCATCGAGAGCGACGTGCCCGCCACCAGCGGCTCTACCAGCGCATCCACGCCAAGTTCAGCGTCTACCCTCTCCTCCACCCTCACATCGGCCTCCAACGACTCGGCCACCCTCTCAATACCCTACAAGCAACCCCACAACCTCGCCTCCATCCTCTCCAACAGCCCCGCGCGCTCGATAATACCACGCAAGATGGGCTCCAGCCGGCCCATGTTCCCCGCCGAGAAGCGCGTCTCCTTCCGCACACCACTGGAAGAGGAGATCACCACCACCAGATACACCCTCGCACATTCCGACATTGAGTCTTCCGTCTCAACACTCTCCTCTCTCGCATCCACCGCCTCCACCACCGACTCCGACGCCTCGACATCACAGCCGTCATTAAGTCTCAAGGCTCTGAAGAACCCCTCCGAAACCAGCATATCGCCCCTCCAGCTCTCCCTCATCAGCACATCGTCCTCCGCAGAGAGCTCACCAAGACCAAAGTCGCCCCGCACAGGCGAGAAGCGCGACTCGTCATCTTCAGACGACGACAGCGACTCAGCTCCCGAAACTCCCGTCGCCGGACGACGGAAGCGGACGCGAGACTGGCGCTGGACACTCGGACCCTTGCCTTCAGACAACAAATCGTCAGTATCGTCGGCGAGCGATGCGACGATCAGCGAGGACAGCAGTTGATGGGTTGACGGCGCGCATGATTACGAACTGTGCAGAGTGGGACGAAGACAACGGATGCGGCGTTACATTCCCATAGCATTTCTCGGTGTTTTATTTGTCACTTTCCATGATACCACATTTGCATATCTCTATTGTCCTGGACGAGACAATCGCTAGCATCGCATTACGTTGCATTTTACTATTACTTTAACTACCATTATCAAATCTACATACTACTCTGCTCTACCAACAAGAGCGGACCGATACTACACTACATACACGTTCAACTTGCATATCACTATCTTAATTACTGCACATCACACTCATTTCGACTTGACTTAACTTGACATGACCCTCCCAACCAAGTGCAAGTCTTACCCAAATCCCCCTCGCGATCATCACTCCTCGGCCATGTGACAGGATCGGCTGCCGATCGAACATCGAACGGCGGTGCGTGCGGGACAGCCCACAGCCACCGACCGCACATGACAAGGGCCCCAACATCGCAAGTCTACGCGACACACAACTAGTTGCCAGGGTCTCGGAAAGCAAAGCAAGCAAGCAATCGCAACGAACAGAAACGTCCATGATCCCGAAATAACACTACATTACGTGCGTACACATGCTTCGTTTTTGCCTCCTCCGCCTCTCGACGCAACGGTCCTGACTTGCATATCCGTGTGCATGTGCAGCAACCATGACATCACCGCCTATCTACCGGGACCAACCCAGCCACCAAGCTTACCTCAAGGATAAATTGCGTACCCGCTTTGAGAGTAGGCTACGGCAATTTGTAGATTGCGCCTCCATCTTGAGTCACTTCCGTAACAGGATGTGAGATCCGGATTCTCCTCTCGATGTCTGCTCGGAATCGAACTAGGATAACGTGGCTGGCGGGAGGAGAGAGAAGCACCGAAGATTCAGGATACGAAGTTGTGCCGGCTTGGCTTGGTAGTAACTGGGTGGGTATGTATGGAATGGTATGGTGGAGGGGCAGGCTGCACGTGATACTCTGGGGACGGCCCCCGTTGTAACAGAAGCAAGTGCAAGGGTATTTTCAAACATCGTCGTGTGTTCTTTTCGTTTCAGTTTCATGTTCTGAACACCCCCACCCCACTCTATCCAGCATCTGTGTGGTGTGTTTGCGACACCCCACCCGTGGGATATCTCTCAAAACAAGCCACAGTGGGACTTATTTTCGCAAGAGTCAGAGTCGCGAATTGTGACAGCTGTCAGACGCGTCGGAGGATATTCGCAGCCTGCAGCGAGGGTTTCGGGCATATATCCAGACGGTTCGTGTAACACGACAGATTCTTCATATGTCTAGAGCAGCAGTAAATCCGACGCGGCTCCAATCTCCACAATCGATACTTGGGTAGAAACATACGGGTTATTGTTCGTATCGCGTTCGTGTCTCTACAACTCTAGCGCAATCCGGCCTCAAGTGCTCCCATGTTCCTAGTCTTTTCGGTCCTCGTCTCAGAGCCTGCAAGACATACAAGCCGCGGCGTAGAACTCGGGGTTTCTTTGTTTTTCCATCTCGTACCTGCAGTACACTACCTTGCGCATTTCTACTGAGCTCACTACCCGTGTCCGGGCGATGGTGGCGCTCAAACCTCTAGTTGCCCATTCGTCAACTAGGGAACGCGTTGCGCGAACGAACGCACAGCTGCAGCGAAAGAAAACCAGCATCAACCCGCCCGTCTCGCATACACGTCGTCATCGTACCCTCACAAGCGCAAACACGGCAAATTGCACATCTCAACCAGTCCCGCTCCGATCGCATCGATGCAGTCAGCAACGTACATTTTTCATCGCGGGAGTGCTAACGAAACGCGGCTTGCAAGGATGCGTTTTAGTGTGGTGTTCTGGAACGTGAACCGCGTGGTCTGGTCGATGCAGATACGGGACCGGGATGGATTAGGACGGGCAATTGCTTTTGAGGCTAAGTATAGCGTAGGAACCGCTAATGAACCGTTTTTTCTCCTGACTTTTATCTCATGGGTACGATGCGATGCGATACGGTGGAAGAGGACTGTTTGGAGGATGGGGGTAGTGTTGTGGAAATTGCGGTAGAGACCTCGGGAGTGTCGTGCTTTCTTCTTTTGTGCGAGTGGTGTCGCGATGCATGTCTTGCAAGCTGGTGTACATTCATTCCTTAGCCTTCGAGCCCTCACGTGTTAGGGTTTCTGATGATTACAACTACAAAGAAAACACTTCGCAAGACACCGTCCACTCCGCCCAATCATACCCACACAGTGACCAACCCATCTACTACTCCCTTGCTCCCTCCGGAGTCCAGAATCCTATCCTATCGATTCCGATAGTCCAAGTAGTCCCAGTAGTCCCACCATCAAGCGAGATAACGATCTTCAGGTACAAACTCTACCATCCACCAGTGCCATCCCTCAACCACGTAGTCCTCGATCACGCGAACGTGTTCTAGACCAACCTGGTCCGTGTGTGATTATAATAGCGTGTGCGTACTAAGAGCGCAGGGAGCGGAGTCGGAGTGAGGAGCGGAGCGGAAAGCACGGAAGTGCGGGAGCTCGGAGATGAGGTATACGTAGTATATGAATGGTGGTATGGTGCTAGGGTAGGGGTTGTTGGGTTGTTGGGTTGTTGGGTAGCGAGGATTTGGGAGGAGGGAGGATGGTGATTAGTGGTGGATGGCGGTATGTGAGTAAGGGGTGAGGGAGCAGGGTTTAGGGGTGAAGATAGAGGGAAGTATGCGTATATGTGTGTACGTATGGAGCTGTGATAGTCTCGTGTTCTAAAAGGCCATAGCTAGAGAAGAATTGATGTTCGTTTGATAAGACAATGTTAGAATGCGGCGGAACGGAGATGCTAATTCTATTCATACCCACGTTCTAAGAGGAAAGTGTAGTATAAGAGTATCTTTCGAAGTATATTGGTGATACCACATCCTCGAGTCCCAAAAATCCCAAAGTAGAGTGATGACCTAGTCTATCATCCCCCACGACTGCCAACACCAACTCCAGACGCCTAGCCCACCTATCCCCAACGCCTACAACGCCATTGAATCCATATAAGGCATGACACTCGCTATAGTGATCCCACTTCTCCCTCACCGGTAACGCCATACTCCCCCTCCCCCCTCCCTCCCTCTCTCCCCATCACACACCCTCCCCACCGGGCGTAAAATCCAGTTTCCCACTCGCCATAGCCCAAACCAGTCCGCCCATAATCCCACTCAGTATACAAACAATAAAGCACACAAACCACACCATACTCTGCCTCTTCCTCCAACCCCTCCTCGCCCTAGCAAAACACCCCTTCCCTTTCTCCCTCTTCTCCCTCTTCTCCTTACGCTGAGCTTCTAGTTTCTTGGCTGCTGCCTCGGCGGTAAGGCGGGCCTGACGGTCACGCCGTAGTTCGGCTTTTTCGTCGTCGGAGATGAGGGAGCGGGGGCGGCCGAGGGGGTGTTTGTGGGTGAAGCGTTTGGTGTAGAGGCCGGATGAGTGGTTGTTGGTAGAGGGATAGGGGGTGGTGGGAGTGGGGGGATAGCCGTCGGAGGAGAGAGACTCGGGTACGTTTTTTGCGTTTGAGATGGCGTGGTCGCGCCAGACGGCGTGGCGGCTATCCAGCGTACCATCTTTAGACCATTCGATGACATCGTCGATTGCAGCCGTCAGATCATCGCCTTCGAGACTATACGTCAGCGCCTCCCAGAGCTGGAGGTCAATCTTGCGGATGTCGACGCCGGCAGTGGAAAGCGTGTTCGCAATTCCCTTCCACGAGTTCTTGGCAGAAGGATCAACACCAGACAAGCTCGCTGGGTTGCGGACGTAGAGCCAGGACTGCGCCAAGTCGACGAAGCTGTCGAGGGAGATGGCGGTTTGCTTTACGCCGAGGCCGACGGTGTGGTTGTAGAGGACGAGGTTGTTGTCTTTGCTGATGGGGAGGCCTTGGGGGTACCAGTTGTTTTGTGCCTGCCGGGCGAAGGGGAGGGTGCGGAGAGAGGTGAGGATGGCCATGAGGGCGCGGTCGCGGTCGGTGTATGTGTGGTGGTGTGGTCCGGCTGAGATGGAGTGGAGGTCGTAAAGGGTGGACTCGGGCGCGTGCTTGAAGTCGTCTTCGATGATGGCTTGGATGCGGTCGACCATGTTGCGGGTGCTGAGTACTGTGTTTGCGTTAGCAAGCAATTCGAGAAGTGTGGCTGAGGGATCCGGTCCGCATCTCTTCTCGGTTCAACTATTACTAAAGCAGAGCTACTCACAGTAAGGCAGAGCATCACAGACCCGACACAGCTTCAACCCCATAAACTCAACCACAACATTCTTAACTGGCTTCTCATTCACCGCAGGCACAACTAGCACCCCATCCCCAACTCCTCCATAGATAGTATGCTTCGTCCTCGGAGAAGACGCTCCAGAACTGCTTTGTCTGGGCGACCGTACAGTATGCACACTCGACGAGGAAGAATTCCACCCTTCATTGCCGTCAGGCCCAAGGCGATAGCCGTTGGGTGTTGTGTGTGCTTGCTGAGGGACGCTGGGTCTGGAAAAAGACTTTGACGTGGGAGGCGAGGGAGGTGCCGATGACAATGTAGAAGATGACGATGCGAACGATCGGTCCTGGCTGGTGTAGCTATCCGCATTGGGGGTACTGTAGGCATGGCACGGTTGAAGTGCCGGATGCTCTTCACGATTGACAGTGGCGGACAGTGAGCGTCTCCATGCGGCTTTTGAGCTCGACTTATCAGCGGGGACGATAGTGTCCTGATGCAGTGTTAATGAATGTTTTGGTGTGATGAGCGGATTCGCGTACCTTGCTACCATGCCGCGATGGGACGCCGTCGTCGCATCGCGATGTTGTGGCCATTGCGATGCACGGCGGTCAATGAAGCGATGAATGAAAAGGAAAGAGACACTCAGTCCATCGAAATGAACTGCAAATGAGATTGAAGAGAGGTCAAGCAGCTGAGAGATCGAAAGGCAAGAGGTTCGGGAAGGGAAGGGAAGGGATTGTATCAAGTCGGCTTCTGGCCAATGCGTACTGGCATTACACGTCGACGAGCACCAGACCGAGTCGCTATCAGACCCCTCACGATACACACAATCATGTTCTCATCAGCAGTCGACATCACTCATGTGTATGGTGCGTGTTGTAGATCGCGACCCTGGATCGCCCAACAACCACTGGATGTGTGACCCCTCACGTTGATCCACCCCAATACAGCTGAGCTACCAGACTTGATGCAGTGAATTGTTTCGCAACGTTGTTTGTTGATTCGTAGTTGGTATTTGAACGCGCGGGCGGCCACGACGACGGTCGCTTCGAGAACTGCAATTGTGCCATATCCAGCCTCAATTATCGTCATTTAGTGCTTTGGCATCCTCCACCGCCGCTCTGGCAATCTTCTTCAGCAGAGATTTGAAGTCCGCCTCCCGGAACTTTTCCCAACGATCCAAACCCTCGCTCGCATCGATTGACAACGTCTCGTACCCCTGTTTGATGACGGCGCTGACTTCTTGCGGGCTAAGATGCTTGGACCGCGCTTTTCCATTGCTCTCCAGCAGGGATTGGTAATGCGAAGACACATTGATGAGCGTCTGCATGGAGTCTGATTGGCCTGATAACCCGAATGTGTCCCGGAACTTGATCAGTGTGTCGCCGCTTTCCACGAGCTTGTAGAACAAGTCGTCGTATGATGCAGGATCAGGCAGGAAGTTCTCTCCGCTAGACAGTGCAAAGGCCAGCAGATTGACAAGTATGTTGATCATTCCGTTTGATTTGTAGTTGGACTTGATGTCGCTTTCGTAGGTGGTGAGAAAGCGGACAAAGGAGAGCAGGGTCCGCCACAACTCCGACCAATGGTATGTGATGCGCGTCTTGGTTCGACTAAGGTGCGAAAGGAGACGTAGCAAAACGCCGAGGCAGAGGCTGGGAGTGGGTTAGCCAGACATATGCCATACTAGTTCTGAGACTTACATGTAGAAGTCAACGTCTAACCGCCTCCGCAGGTTATGGCTGATGGCGTCAGACATCATGTCTAGAATGACAGCTGCAGGGACACGATCACCCCTCACTGCCGGCAGGTAGGGTTGTCTCTGACGGCACAAGCGCACCGAAAGCTTCGACTCGTCACTACATAGGCGCTTGGCGAGCTCTCGGTCTTCGACAAGTATTTGCAGCACGAAGAGGCTGAGGTATGTGTACAGTGCGGCCCTGGTAGACCGATGCGCGTGTTGAAACATGTAGGACGTCAAGGAAAGGTATGCGCTCAGCGGCGAGGGCTCGTTCTTGTCCGCTGGGGCTGACTTGACTAGGTTGAAGCAGAAGACTTTGTTGGCGTTGGCGAAGTCGTACGTGGAGAGAAGTACGCCAATCTCAGGCCCTGGTCTAGATAAACGTTAGCTATGAGCAGTGATTACGGCCATGAGTGCTTACAGTGCAGCGAAGAGCGACTTGGCGTCTTCCGGGGCCGGCACAGGTGTCGTTGGCCGGGAACTGGGAGCAAGAGCACCCAGACCAATATAACTCAACGTCGAGCCCAGCGACCAGCCCTCTGGCATGTCGTCCTGTACAGCTACATAGGCGTCCCGCAGCTTTGTACATGTATTCCCAAAACAAGCGACCATATCCTGTATGATAGCATCGTTGACAAAGTCGTCTAGCCGCAGTCTATACGGGTTCTGAAACTCGAATTTGTTGTAGTTGGTGAGGAGGCCGAGGAGATAGAGCGCGGGGAGAACTTGGGTGCTGTCGTCGCAATCTTGGATGTACTACTGGCTGTGAGTATGCATCCCCCCTGTCTTGCTTTCTGTCGTACCTTCATGAGCGAGGGAAAAAGGTCGCGATGAGTAAAATACGACGGAAGCGCAGTCTGAAAGCCAGCCGCAGTAATCGAGAGCGCCACTCTCACAGCCCTCAAACGCAAAGGAACTGCTTTTGGTCAGCCTGTCCCTCTCTAGCATCCACCCTGTACATACTGTCCCTTCCCCCCCGTATCGCCGTATCCAGCGTCGCAACAAAATCCGTCATAACCGCATCCGCATCATTCAGCCCCGTAAGAACAGCTATGATATCAGAGCTAGGATTTGTGTACTTCTTCGTGAGTGCGGCATCGAGGAAGACTGTCAAGGTCTAAGCGGTAAGCGCATGGAGGAGAGAAGGTGTGTGTACGTGGGTGGGTGGCATGGGTACCTCGAGGGCGATTTCGTCGGCGGGCGCGCTGGCTTGCTTGACGCGGAGGATGGCTTGCCCGAAGAGTTGCTGGCTATGCGCTTGCTGGTGCAGCATCTCGTCCGGCGTTACCGAACTGAGTATGCGCTGAAGGCCGGTGGGGTCGGGGCGGTGGAGGAAGAATTCTTGCCAGAAGCCGGCGGATAGCTCGACTTCTTCGTCGTCTTCCTGGGGATGGTTAGCACTTGGTTGGCGCAAAATGGGTGGAGATGGAGAGGACGCACTTTGAAGAGGGTTTCGTAGAGGGAGATTATCTTGGGTTGGAAGATTTCCGGTCGCGTGTCCTGCGTCAGCGGTGACGGCTCCATGGTGCGTGGGAGAGACTTTGGGGAATTTGTCGTGGGGAGCTGCAGGGACGGACTTTAGATGCGATGGTGGCAGTCGCAGGCGCGTCGCGCAGCATGGGGAACTAGCGGGCCGGTGGGCGATCAGACGCCGACAGCCCCACCATTCACACGTGTGAAGGTAGGCATGTCGTGTGAGGGGATCACTAGACTATCTACTCGAATTATTCTCATAGTGAACTGTCAATACAATCCTAAAGGAAGGCGCGACCAGACCCCCGGTACCCCGCGTCCCTCCAACCCTCCAACCACGATGCCACAACCCCTCCTAGTCGGCATCTCAGGCCCCTCCTCCTCGGGCAAAACAACCCTCTCCCGTCTCCTCCGCGACATCTTCCCCCCCTCCAAACTCTCCATCCTACATCTCGACGACTTCTACCTCACCGACGCCGAGATCCCCGTCAAGAACTCTGTCCAAGACTGGGATTGCATAGAGTCGCTCAACCTACCTGCGCTCAAACAAGCACTGCAGCACATCAAAGAACATGGTAACAGTCCAGAATGGCTGGTCAGCCAGGAAGACCAGAACAGTGTGGGCGACCATGGTGTACCTGAGGATGAGATCAGGAGGTTAAGAGATGAGGTTGAGGTGTGGTTGAGGAGTAAGACCGAGTGGCAAGAGCGACGGATATGTGTTGTTGATGGGTTTTTGCTGTTTTCGCAGGATATGAAGGATATCCGTGAGATCTTTGATGTTAGACTCTTTTTAAGGACGAGCTATGAGACTGCGAAGCGGAGGAGGGAGGCGAGGAGTGGTTATGTGACGCTTGAGGGCTTCTGGCAAGATCCGCCGGGTTATGTAGATGATATTGTGTGGCCGAACTATGTGAAAGACCATAAGTTCCTGTTCAAGAATGGGGATGTGGATGGAGAGTTGGATAAGAAGGTTTGCGAGAGCGTTGGCATATATGGCATGCCGAGAGAAGCGGAGGGCGATATGACGAGGTGTTTGCATTGGGCTGCTGGGTTACTCGAGGACGTCATCAAGAAGACATGAGTACTTTTCGAGTCTGTATTATTATACTTGTATCCATGTCACTTTGGAGCTTGACAACTCAAAAACTACATACCCCGACCCCGTACCTGATTGTTACTACTCAACAACGCCTATGCGCCATTAGACAATGCCCTAACCCACCAGCCATGCAGAAGTGATGATACACAAATGTCAAAGCGAAACGGCCGACTGATCAAATTTTGAAGTCACCGCCTTCCTAAGTGCTGGACTTGACCTTGTCGATGTAGGCCTGTCCGGGGCTCTCATAGGTAGGCACAAAGAAGGTGTTGATCTGAGCTTCCTTGGAGAGCCACGTCGTCATTTGACTGAGCTCCTCACGCAAGCGCGTGACGGCCTGGTGATCCATGTTGGTTTGCGCGATGAGTTCGGGCATTGTGACTGTGAAAGCCTTGTTAGCAATTTTCACATCTAATAACTCATATATGCATACCCAGAAGACGCAGAAGATGCTCGCCGCCATAGATGTCAGCCAGCGGCTTTGCTGCAAGATCATCCGTCGGCGAATTGACGCGCGTCCAGATGTCGTAGAACTGCTCGCGCTCAAACCGGTACAGAAGAAGGCGCCCGACGCTCTTATTGAAGTACTCCTTCAGTCCAGCTATGACTTCCTCGAGGATGTCCTGCTCGATGCTGGTGCGGTTGCTGTTGTCTTTGACATGCTTCATGTACTCATCCAGTATGACGCCTGCAGGGTAAGCTGAAGGCAGCTGAACCAGCTGCAGGTTCTTAGTGATGTTCTCCCAGTCGTCGACTAGGAGGCTCTTTAGCCGATCTGGCATGTAGATCCTAACAGCCAGCTTGTTCTGGAATGCTTCTTCCTAAGGGGAGTTAGAGAGTGAGTTGCTAAGCATAGGACGAATTGCTGGAATACACACCTTCTCTAAGTCATTGTCCCGCACCCTCTTCTGACCGCGTGGTGCAGCAGTGACGGAGGTTTGGCGCTCTTCGCTACCGCGCGCCGAACCTTGAGCCTTCTTTTTCGCAGGTGCGGGCTGGGCTCTTGCGGCACGCTGGGCTGCCAGCATCTCGTGCCTGAGGTTATTGGCCAACTCTCGGTTCTCGGGAGACAGCTTGCGAAGCCGGTCCTCAGGAACCCAGTCGTCCCAGCTGCGATGCGTTAGCTTGCGATCTCAAAAGCAAGCTGCGGGTTTTTGAGTTTTGAGGGGCCGGTCTGAGATGATGTGCCGCTGCAGATGTGTAGTAAAGGTGTAGTACGTGGGCATGAGTGAAGTGTATGGTGAGGCAAACGTGACTTCTGCAGTGGGAGACGGAGCGACAGGCAGGCGGGCGCAGACTCGAACGAATCGAAGATACGTACGTGTTCTTCCAGCCCTTGTAGTGGACTCTGTATTCGAAGCCATTCTTCTTGTCTTCTTCTACAGGCCTGACTTCGAGCACCTTGGCCTCGTATAGCAACTCATGGTGGAAACAAAAGACCTTTTCATCTTTCTTGAAGGAAGGCTCTGGCGCAGCTGCGGGCGCCATGATTGCGATGGAATGTGATGAAACTGATGTCGATGGGTTTGGTAGTCAGGAAGGAAGCGGTAAGGGTGCGAAAGATTGCACGTCCACGTAGCGCGTCTTCGTGCCAGCCCTGGAGTGATACAACAAGAGAGATACTTTGCGCCGCGAAAGTGAAGTGAGGGTTGCCTGAATACCGGAAACGGTCGACAAGCCCGGTGAAAGACGGTTCAGTCGACGTTTGCTTGGAGTCTTCCAGGCACGTCTCACGGGAGTTTTCTGGGCACGGGCCACAACGCGTCGTCGCGCGTTCCGATGGCCCTCCTTCATTGGCGCATCCACCACCAACACTGCCGTATCAATCATATGCGTGGGCACTTTCCGGCCTGACATCGACACCTACTACTCTAATCATGCCGTCGCAAGAGGCCAAGATCCTCGGTGACTTCCTCCTCGCACCTGCTCCCTTGCGCGACTTCACCACCCTACGCGACTTCACCGACATCTTCCCCCGCGCCCACCGCTCCAACCCCGCCGTGCAGGAAATCTATCGCGAGCTCCAGCACATACGCGACAGGGATATCGAGCTGATCCGTCAGGACATCATTGATGAGGTCAAACGGTCCAAGCAGCTGAGGCGGGAGTACGCTCGGGAGAGGCGCCAAGTAGACGATGCCACCGTAGCCGGACTGGACCCGATTGCGCTTCAAATGGAGCAGGAGGTACTGCATTAAGGAAAGATACTTCCTGGATTGCGCTGACAGTCACCAGCTCTCCGGCCAAAGTCGCAAGAAACCGCACACGCTACAGACGGTCCACTCCGATATCGAAGAAGCATGCCAAACCCTCGAGGCCCAGATCGCAGAGATAGAGCAAGAGAACAGACGGGCTTTGGCTGAGGTCAAAGACGTTGTTGGCGCCCTCAGTGAGCTGCGACATGGCCGCTTCGCACCGTCGTCCAGCGGAGAAAACATTGGAGAAGAAGTCATGGCCACGCTCAAGCAACTTGAAGCTGTGTGCGATAAACCGGCTGGATGAGAATTGCGAATATCCGAGCATCGTCGTGACGAATGCACTGTACAAATATGAGGACCATGCTAGCGGTCGAAAGGTTCAGTCTTCGACTTGCATCACACACTGCCTGAGCTGGTAAAATTGCGCATTACCGCCCAAGGCTATCGACCGCAAAACGAGGTTACGCTTGCGCAGTTTTTATGCCGGTCAGGGAAGTAGTATGTCTACAGAGACGTTTGTGCGATCCCGCACTACGCCGAGCAGTAGACGCCACTCTTCAATCGTTGACAGGAACAACACCAGCACTAGGACAAGGGATCCAGATCATCCCCGTAGATTTGGATCAAAGGATATCCTGCGACGTATCGCAGCACGTCGCAGTGCTTCCTGTCCACACCCGAATCATTACCAAGGCTATGTATCTAGGATAAAGTGAGCGCACAACGTAGCTGCCACTCCCATCCGCCAGACTTGCGCACGACGACTCTGATACATGGTTTCATCCGATCCTCATCGCGGCGAATATCATACCATAACATCTTGCCAATACCCGATGCGACGCTTGCTGTGCTCATTCTCCGGTGCATCAACCACGCGTCTGTATCCCCGTTAGCCAGGACCATCACGAGCACAAGACAGCGTGACAAACCCAGTACGAACTCCAGAAAACATACCCTGTCAACTTCCATCATCCCGCCGTCCAGGTTAGCGACCCCGCGTATACTGCCTGCAAGCACGCCGTGATTGGCTGCACGCACCACCGCAATTAATCTATCCATATGAACATTGTCAATCCCGCAAGTATCAACATCTAGTCCGCCGTTACAGAGATCTGTCTATAGCAAAACTTCTACACGTGTTCAGATCAGGATGATTGTCTTATACCGCGTCGCAATGCAATTCCTTTCCGTTGTCTTGTCGTCCATGCCATATTCGCAAAGATGCTCCTCCCATCCTTCCTGACACTATCACTATCCCTCATCGCCTACTCTCCCCTCGCCTCCGCCTCCGCCTCCTCCTCCCTCAGAATCACCTCCTCCAACCACTCCTTCGGCGGCGTAAACTACCCCCAACTCCAATTCTTCACCCCCTCCCACCGCGACGCCACAATCCGCGAAATCATCAAAAGCGGCGCCCGCGTAATCCGGCTCTTCATCCGCCCAGATGCCCAACACCCAGATCCAGAAGGCGAGATAGGCGGCTTCGACAAGTCGCTGCTCGACCAATTCGATGACACGCTAGCAGCCATTCACCATTTGTCGAAAGGCCAGATGAAAGTCATCATCGCACCGCACGACGCACATGCGCTTCGGGGTACAAATGATGTAGCCTGCGACGCATACTGCCAGAAACTCAACGGCGCGTTCCTCGATTTCTACAGCAACGAGGAATATCGCGACATGTACAAAACACGCCTCGGCGTCTTCTTCACCCACTACCCCTCCAAGAACTTTGACGGCCGCCCCTGGAGCACCTTATCCGAAGTCATTCTCGGCGTCGACCTTCAAAACCAGCCTTTCTCTGGCATCTCACCCATCCCATCCGGCGAATCCTGGCTCTGCGACATCGCCTCCTATCTAAAATACAGCATCGGTCTCGACGCATCCAACATTGCCGTCATCAGCGGCGGCGTATCAGGTGCACAATCCGTTGACGGGAATGAGAATTTTCCGGATAGCGTGTTTGACTGCAAGGCTATTGATGTTATTGGTATCCATGGGTATTTCGATAAGAGGACTGATAGGACGGCGGGGACGGCGTGGGCGGATTTGTTTCTGCCGGGCAATACGTTGATGGGGAGGGCGGAGGGGAGGAAGAAGGGGGAGGGGAAACTGTTGTTGGTGGAGGAGTGGGGGTATGTGCATAGTGAGGTGTTTGGGTTGTTTTATAAGAAGGAGGCGGTTTGGGATGGGGGGAATGTGCTGAATTATAGGGGGATTCCTTGGGTGAGTAGGCCTTCCATTTCTTCTCTTCCCCCCTTCCTTACCGTTTGTGGTACTGAAGACGTGCTATACCGTACTAACAACCCCCCCAGCTATACTCCCACCTAACTCCCCTCTCCGAAGGCAAATCCTCCCGCATAAACCCCCTCCACCCCACCTACACAACCTGGCCCGCCCTCGTCGATATCCTAAAACGCTCTTTCACAACGCGTAGCCCCTTCTCCTGGTCCAAATACCTCCACCCACCCACGACCATCATCGCCCCCTCCGCCGACGAAACCACAGAAGCCTACCTCCGCTCCATGCTCACCGGCTCCCCCGCCACCAAAGAATGGAAGCTGAAACCAGCGGGCCTGTCTAACGTCACGAGTGTGCGGTTGAACCCGTATATCATCGAACAAAGCGACTGCACTTTTGGCTGCGTGGGCCATTTATGTGACGCAGCAGATGATTGTTCACCAAATCTTCTCTGTAAAAACAGCATATGCCAAACCAATCCAGACTCGCAGCCAGGGAAAGTGGGAGACAGATGCAACAGCAAGGCCGTCTGTCAGAGCCATTTACGGTGTGTGGAGGGGGAGTGTGCGGCTTGTGTTGCACGTACAACCATCCAACCGGAAAACAAGAAGAGGAAACGAACGATCCCAGGAGACAGCGGGATGCAGCAAGAGGAGGAGGAATATAGGAGGAGGTATGCGGTCAAACCGAATGATCCAAAAGGAACATGCTACACAGATTCCCTCCCCCACCTCTTCGAAACCATCAGACTCTCCCCCTCTTCCCCTTCTCCACAACCCCCTCCAATATGTCTCCCCCCCTCCCACCACCCCAACCCCTGCACAACACCCACCCATTGTTCCGCCTCACAATACTGTTCCTGGGGCTTATGCACACCCTGCTCCGCAACAGACGCCTGTCTCGGGTCTCCCTGCCGCAGCAACAACGCGTGCAAAACGGGTTTCTGTAACGATTACGGGAGATGTGATTATGTAGCCGCTAGGAAGAAGAAGGCGACGGGGCCGGGGGGCGCAAGGGGGAAAGTACATGGGAGGGTAGCGGGGGTGCCGAGGGGGTTTGAGAGGGGGCCTGCGAGGGTGAGGAGTGAGAGTATGAGGGTTGTGATACCAGAGGAAGAGGAAGGACCGGCTGCTACTGCTACCGCTGCGGCGTGAACTCATCATCACATTAACTTATGTAGCGTGGTATAAGAGCGTGTACTTGCAAGGCAACGGCAAAAGACAGTCCCATCTGAATATAGATATCCTCAATCTCGAACAAAATAAATTCCTCAGCTAAATATTTACAAGAAGATTATTTCATACTAGTTAGTGTGTTGGGGTATCGTATCGAATGCCTCCCTCCCTCCCTTCCTCCCTTTCCCAAAACTCCTTTTTGTGTTGGTAATCTGTAGCATGTACAATCATGGGATCACGCCGTCATGACCTCGTAGAACGCATGCGTGGTGTGATTCTACGCTGAGACGGGGTCGTGGCTCCAGGCGGGGCGTTGTTCGAGGAACTACCGTTGCGTCATCAGTCGGGTCTTCGTGCTAGCAGGTGACAAAGCGTATGGCGGTAGCAGGTAACTGTCGGGTCCACTGCAGTGGCAATCCGGCAGATCACCCCATCGAAACCCGATACTTGTCATTCTCCTCAATCAGCTTCTCCAAGAACGCCGCCGCCTCAACAAGAACCTGACTCTTACTCAGCCCGCCACCTCTTACAGCAGGCACAACCTCATTCAAATCCTTGTACCCCTGCTTGATCAAATCCCGCCGCTTCTGCTCCGACAAAATATGATTATTCCGCTTCTGTTCCTCAGTAAGATTCTCGCGATGTGCCTTCTGAGCCGCAGTTGATGCCCGCTTCTTCTTCGTACTATCCTCCACCGTAGACGCTTTCCGAGCCTTGCCATTGCGCGCGGCTTTCTTGGGTGTGTCTTTGCTATATCGCACCTGGCTCTTTTTCCGCTTCTTCGCCGGCCGGTCTTCGTCTTCGTCGTCGGATTCGGCGTCGTCGGATTGCGAGGCGTCGTCTCGTGGCCCGCGAGTGTAGGTGGTAGGGGTAC